TATCCTTCCTAGGGGGTTAAGATATCCTTCAGAGAAACTTCCTATGGAATCAAATATTTATCCAGGATATGTATAATACCACTAGAAAGATTCAGATATCCTTTTTGGGGGGTTTAAAGTTACACTGGAGGAATATAGATATCCTTCCTGGGCATTTTACATTCAATTGGAATTATAAACCCCAAGGATGGATTTCTGAATCCTTCCAATAGAAAAAACCCTCCAGGAAAAATATCTGAATCCCTCCTTCGAAAATCAAAACTCCTCCAGTGCAGTGGTTGAAAAAGTACAAAAAAAGAAGGAAAAGAGAAAATGAAGAAAAAGGAGTAAAGGAAGGAGAAACACGGAATAAGAAAAGAATGAAGAAGAAAGATATTAACCTAAGGAAATAGAGTGTGAAAGAAGGAGAAAGAGGAAAAAAATTTGAAAATGTAAGATGAAATCAACAGCTTATGAATAATCTGTATTAAAACTAATTATTATCCTCACGTTTAAGGGTCACTGCCTAAGGGTCACTGTCTATCATTATAGAGAGGGAGAGGTGTTTTCCATCCCTGCCCCTCTGTTGTTTTGTTCTAAATTATTTGAAAACGGCTTTCATTAGAATTATAAAACTTCTTCACTTTCCAACTTTGTAAGCTAAATTTGGATTTTTTTTAAATCGACAAAAAAATTTAATAAATCCACAATTTATTTTATTATTGTTTGATAATTTAAGAAGGGAAAATCACTGCACTGGGAAGAAAGAAACTGAGCATTCAAATATTCAAATTTAATTATTTATGATTAAAAAAGATGGGGTTTAGTTCTTGAGTATTTTGAAACCAATTCGTAAATGACGCAAGAAAATCCAGAATGTTCAAATTTTTAAGATTTGTCTTTGTTCTGAAGAATTCTTCAAATAAACTTTAGATCTATTTTGAACTTTATTCTGACCCATTAAACGAAAACCCGTGAAGAACACAAGATTTTTTGGTGTATTTCACTCGAGTGACTGCTCAATATCCTGTGATAATTCATGTGTTGTCGAGGTGATTGTCAAGGATTTGATCACGGGTCTAGGACCGAGATTTTACACAGTGAAAACTTGAGTTTATTTCACGAGATGAACACAGGATGTTTACATGAGAAAATTATTTTCCTCCTATTTACTTAAATTACATTTTTAAAAAACCCCAGGAGAGGGGGGATATATAATTGATTTCTGATATAAAAATATATTATAAAATATACTGTGTAACAGAATATAATCATTACAAACTGTTTAGAAACTAAACATTTTAGTTAATATCTTTTACATTAAGCATCTTGAACATTTAAACTTTAAACTATTCTTATCACAAAATAATATTTCAAGTCTAAATAATGTTTAATTATGTTAATGTGTTCATAAATGTAAGAATGCTCCTTCCTTTATATATCTAAAAGATTGATATTCCAAAAAGGGGTTGTTGAGAACTGCAATACAAAATTCAACTTTTCTATACTCTGCTCATGTTTGTATAGTATAGTCGGTCAACCCGAGCAGACGTGTGTGTGTGAGCTCCAGATGACTGGTTAACTGGGAATTCTACCCTATAGACAATATGTCAAACCTGTCACTCTGAACCGTTAACACAAACATAAAAAATGGCGAATCTTCTTCTTACCCTAGTTACACTTTTAAAGTACTGTGCTCTATCAATCAATAGTGAAGATTTATCAGTGCTTGATTCATCACTGAAACGTAAACTGTCACCTCTTCACCATCATATTTCAAGATGTACCGATCCAGCAGATTTAGCAACATTAGGAGACCAGCTTCCCATTCTGCTTACAGAATTCCTGGAAAAAAACAAAGAACTGTTTGCTGATGAGAAAAACAGCATTCAAAAGGTTTTATCTCCCATCCTAATAAGACCCTCACAGAACTTCAACATCTTAAAAAAGTTTTGAGAAAGAAAGCCTTTTCCTGAGCCGGCACTGATGAGGACAGGAAAAAGTTCCATTCCTGTCTGAAAGCAATTAGTGAGCTTAAAAAAGTTGAAAAAAGAAGACTCCTTCTCAAAACTACCACACACCAAGAAAAATTGTTTCACAAAAACCATTGGGAATTTTCTAAATAAGCTGTCAAGGGATCATTACTGCAGGAGAAATTGAAACCAACCTTTGACCTAGGATTTGCAAACACCTACTACTCAGAAAAATACAGCACACCCGGTATCATAGACTTGAACAATTTAAACTGGTTCCCCTTTTTGTCAATAACTCATGAATCTCCAAATTTCGANTTTGTGAAATATTAAACGTCGTCATATTAATTCTTGAATCTAATAATTTAGAAGAAAAAAATAACAAGTTCAATCCAAAATAGATAAATAAATATATCTATTTTATACCTATACAAATATCACCGGCGTGTTCAGAGGGGGGGGGGGATCAGTCCCTCCTCCCCTTTGTCAGTGAAATCTTCAGTAAAAAGTAACTCAAAATTGTGTTCTACAATTCGATTTTATTGTCTTAATTGCATAATCAAATAAAGGGTAATTAAAAATAATGCTAAAAGTTCCTTTAATTAAAGGATAACTCAAATTAATAGTTACTGCCCCTTAGATCAAAGTGTAATTAGATTATGTTGATTGTGAAGTGATTAAAGTTGTAATCTTTATATCATTCAAATTCCAAATGTAAATCCTAGGGACGTCAAGGTTCATTTGCCCCTTCTCTATTAAGGGAAAATGCCAGTACCAGTTTCAAAAGCTGTCCCTTTCTTTATTTCTTACTTTATTCATATAGTTCAATGTCTATCTCTCAGAGTATGCATAAATAGGGTTCATTTATTAGTTTGTACTGTGAACCTACAATCATTGTATATAGAGTGTAAATAAGTTTGTTGAACTCAGAGATGTTATGATCACAGTTATCCGTTAGAAGAGAAATTTCCAGTAAGGAATACTGAGTCAACAAACAACAACAGATTCAAACCCGCTTATCTTGTATCTATGCCAAGATAGAATAAAAGGATTTTTGTCTCACAACATTCTGTTTGGAAATTCATAAATCTCTGGTGTAATTTAGTAGCTCCCTCAACTCCTGTTCTGTCTCTAACTAGGCAGCTCACTCAACTCAATATCTCGTTTAGTTGCTCCTTGATATCCTGGATGATACTGTAGCTGCTTCTAATGTCTCTCAAATCCAGCTATTCCTAGAGCCTCTGATATGTTAGCTGTACATTACTGAGCTGCTTCTTGATTCTCTGATATGTTAGCTGTACATTACTGAGCTGCTCCTTGATAATGAGATATGTCCACGATATCCACAGGTGCACCTAGAGTATGAGATGTGTCCATGATATCCTTAGCAGCTCCTAGAGCATGAGATATGTCCATTGTCAAAGATATCCACAGCTGCTTCAGGAGTATGAGATATGTCCACAATATCCACAGCTGCTCCAAGAGAATGAGATATGTCCAAGATATCCACAGCTGCTCCTAGAGTATGAAATATGTCCAAGTTATCCACCGCTGCTCCTAGAGTATGAGATATGTCAAAGATATCCACAGCTGATCCTAGAGAATGAGATGTGTCCAAGTTATCCACTGCTGCTCCTAGAGTATTAGATATGTCCAAGATATCCACAGCTGCTTCTACTATCTGAGATGCTCCCACTAGCTGAGATGTTTCCACTACATTCCCAGCTTCTACAATAATTGTGTGAAGAGCTACTTGTGAAGAGCAAAATATATTTATATAAAAAGTTATCATATATGTTTCTTTTAGAGTCCTAGGTCTGGAGGGATGCTCCAGTTCTTCTCTATATCCTGGCTTTCCTAGTTCCTGGATATCTTAGTTATCTCCTATATCCTTATTAGTATTTTAGACGGGCTAGTGCAAGAGCAATTGGTCCAGTCCCAGAAACTAAAAGATATATATCTCTTGATGAGATTGAGTGAATTTCCTATTCCTGACTTAATCATCTAGCTGCTCCAGACATTCGAAGACGGAAGAGCTGTGTACAAAGAGCAATGTCTCCAATCCCAGGATGGAATAGCATTAGGTATCCTGAATGACCTCATTCATATCTGGAGGATGATAGATCATGTCCTCATAGATCTTCGTTGTTATCATCATTGTTATCATCATTGTTATTATTGTTGTTATCACCATTGTTATCATCATTGTTATCATCATGGTTATCATCAGTAGATCTGTGAAGAGCTGTTCCAAAATGAGTGGTGTCTCTGTTCTCAGAATCCTGGGTATCCTAGTACTCCTATTTTTCCTGGAGTCTTATATCTTACTTGATCTTCTAGCTGCTTCTTATAGTTGCAGAGCTGTTTATTGAGATCAACGTCCCCAATATACAAGGAAGCAGCATCTAATAAGTCTTATAATTGAAGAGCTGTCTATCAAGATCAGCGTCAGCGAGATCTAAGCTTTATTGAGTTTCTAAAGTTTTGGACTCCTGTCTATATATATTCGCTCTCAATTTTATCAATGTGATGAACAGAGTATTTAGATTTAATTATTCCACAGTCATTCATCTAAATTCACGGGTCATTCATCTGAATATTACACCATGCTGTAAATACTGCAATTGTCCCTTTAATCAAAGTGTAAAAAGATTATCTTGATTGTCCCTTTAATTAGAGTGTAAGTAGATTATGTTGATTGTCCCTTTAATCAAAGTGTAAACAGATTATGTTGATTGTCCCTTTAATTAAAGTGTAAGTAGATTATGTTGATTGTCCCTTTAATCAAAGTGTAAGTAGATTATGTTGATTGTCCCTTTAATCAAAGTGTAAGTAGATTATGTTGATTGTCCCATTAATCAAAGTGTGAATAGATTATGTTGATTGTCCCTTTAATCGAAGTGTAACTAGATTATCTAGCTTGTCCCTTTTATCAAAGTGTAAGTAGATTATGATGATTACCCCTTTAATTGAAGTGTAACTAGTTTACGCTGATTGTCCCGTTAAACAAAGTGTAACAAGATTCAGTTGATTGTCCCTTTAATTTACCTGAAACTTTACAAGTATGATAAGCTAACCCACGACCAGTATAACTCTCTTCTAAAAACTATGTAATTTCGTGAAGAAGTTGTAAAACTTTTTATGTTTTGAAAAGATTTTTGTTCAAAAATATTACAAAAGCATAAAAAAATCCGTTTAATAAAAAAAGAATTTAAAAAACTGCTAATGAAAGAACAACTAACGGGCAATTTCGATAACTTTTTTGAAAAAGAAGTGACTTGTCCAACGGGTATATCAACAATTTCAGAGGACTTTGTCATGAAAAAGAAAAGATCATTAATTGTTTAATTTTTATGTAAATTTTGCATCCTTAATTTAACGAACCGATTTGAAAGTGTCAAGGAGCCCTGTCTAATCTGACCCTTCTTCAAGGTATACCTATCTACTCTGACCCTTTAGGCATACCTGTCCACTCTGACCCTTTTAGGTATACCTGTCTACTCTGAACCTTCAAGGTATACTTGTCTACTCTGACCCTTTAAGCATACCTGTCCACTCTGATCCTTCAAGGTATACCTGTCTACTCTGACCCTTTAAGCATACCTGTCCACTCTGATCCGTCAAGGTATACCTGTCTACTCTGACCCTTTAAGCATACCTGTCAACTCTGATCCTTCAAGGGTTACTTGTCTACTCTGAACCTTCAAGGTCTACCTGTCTACTCTGACCATTCATGGTATACCTGTGTACTCTGAACCTTCAAGGTATACCTGTCTACTCTGAACCTTCAAGGTATACCTGTCTACTCTGAACCTTCAAGGCATACCTGTCTACTCTGACCCTTTTAGGTATACCTGTCTACTCTGAACCTTCAAGGTATACCTGTCTACTCTGAACCTTCAAGGTATGCCTGTCGACTCTGATCCTTCAAGGTCTACTTGTCTACTCTGAACCTTCAAGGTCTATCTGTCTATTCTGACCCTTTAAGCATACCTGTCCACTCTGATCCTTCAAGGTATATCTGTCTACTCTGACCCTTTCAGCATACCTGTCCACTCTGATCCTTCAAGGTATACCTGTCTACTCTGACCCTTTTAGGTATACCTGTCTACTCTGAACCTTCAAGGTATACCTGTCTACTCTGAACCTTCAAGGTATACCTGTCTACTCTGACCCTTTTAGGTATACCTGTCTACTCTGAACCTTCAAGGTATACCTGTCTACTCTGAACCTTCAAGGTATACCTGTCTACTCTGAACCTTCAAGGTATGCCTGTCAACTCTGATCCTTCAAGGTATACCTGTCTACTCTGAACCTTCAAGGTATGCCTGTCAACTCTGATCCTTCAAGGTCTACTTGTCTACTCTGAACCTTCAAGGTCTATCTGTCTACTCTGACCATTCATGGTAAACATGTCTACTCTGATTCATCAAGGTATACCTGTCTACTCGGAACCTTCAAGGTATGCCTGTCAACGCTGATCCTGCAAGGGTTACTTGTCTACTCTGAACCTTCAAGGTCTACCTGTCTACTCTGACCATTCATGGTACAGCTGTCTACTCTGAACCTTAAAGGTATACCTGTGTACTCTGAAACTTCAAGGCATACCTGTCTACTCTGAACCTTCAAGGTATACCTGTCTATTCTGACCCTTTAAGCATACCTGTCCACTCTGATCCTTCAAGGTATACCTGTCTACTCTGACACTTTAAGCATACCTGTCCACTCTGATCCTTCAAGGGATACCTGTCTACTCTGACCCTTTTAGGTGTATCTGTCTACTCTGAACCTTCAAGGTATACCTGTCAACTCTGATCCTTCAAGGTATACCAGTCAACTCTGAACCTTCAATGATTGCCTGTCAGCTCTGATCCTTCAAGGTCTACTTGTCTACTCTGAACCTTCAAGGTCTACCTGTCTACTCTGACCATTCATGGTATACCTGTTTACTCAGAACCTTCAAGGTATACCTGTCTACTCTGAACCTTCAAGGTATGCCTGTCAACGCTGATCCTTCAAGGTATACCTGTCTACTCTGAACCTTCAAGGTATGCCTGTCAACTCTGATTCTTCAAGGGTTACTTGTCTACTCTGAAACTTCAAGGTCTACCTGTCTACTCTGACCATTCATGGTATACCTGTGTACTCTGAACCTTCAAGGTATACCTGTCTACTCTGAACCTTCAAGGTATACCTGTCTACTCTGAACCTTCAAGGTATAGCCGTCTACTCTGAACCTTCAAGGTATACCTGTCTACTGTGACCCTTCTAGGTATACCTGTCCATTGTAACTCTTCTAGTTATACCTGTCTACTCTAAACCTTCAAGGTCTACCTGTCTACTCTGACCCTTTAAGGTATTCGTGTCTACTCTGAACCTTCAAGGTCTACTTGTCTATTCTGACCCTTCATGGTATACCTGTCTGCTCTGAACCTTCGAGGTATACCTGTCTAATCTATTACTTCAAGGTATAACTGTCTTCTCTTACCCTTCAAGGTCTACCTATCTACTCTGACCCTTCATGGTATACCTGTCTACTCTGAACCTTCAAGGTATACCTGTCTACTCTGACCATTCATGGTATACCTGTCTACTCTGAACCTTCATGGTATACCTGTCTTCTCTGAACCTTCAAGGTATAGCCGTCTACTCTGAACCTTCAAGGTATACCTGTCTATTCTGACCCTTCAAGGTATACCTGTCTACTCTAACTCTTCTAGTTATACCTGTCTACTCTAAATCTTCAAGGTCTACCTGTCTACTCTGACCCTTTAAGGTATACATGTCTACTCTATTACTTCAAGTTATAACTGTCTTCTCTTACCCTTCAAGGTCTACCTGTCTACTCTGACCCTTCATGGTATACCTGCCTACTCTGAACCTTCAAGGAATTCCTGTCTACTCTGAACCCTCTAGGTTTACCTGTCTACTCTGAACCTTAAAGGTATACCTGTCTATTCTGACCCTACAAGGTATACTTGCCTACTCTGAACCTTCAAGGTATACCTTTCTACACTGACTCATCAAGGTAATACACTAACCCTTCAAGGTATACCTGTCTACTCTGATCCTTCAGGGTATACCTGTCTACTCTGATTCTTCAAGGTACACCTGTCTACTAATACCCTTCAAGGAAAACCTGTTTACTCTAACCCTTCAAGGTATACCTGTCTACTAACACCCTTCAAGGTATACCTGTCTACTCTGATCCTTCAAGTTATACCTGTCTACTCTGATCCTTTAAGGAATTCTTGTGTACTCTGAACCTTCAAGGTATACTCGTCTACTAATACCCTTCAAGGTATACCTGTCTACTCTAACACTTCAAGATATACCTGTTTACTCTCCCCCTTTAAGGTATTCCTTTCTACTCTGATCTTTCAAGGTTTTCTAGGAGTACCTGTCTACTCTGATCCATATTCTTACTATCAAGGTTAACTTGTCTAATCAGATCCTTCTTAAAGGTAAACCTGTCTACACTGACCTTTCTTCAAGGTATACCTGTCTACTCTGACACTTGCAGGTACACCCGTCCACTTTGACCATTCAACTTATTGCACAGTTCAAGGTATACCAGTCTTCTCTGAACCTTAAAGGTATACCTGCTTACTCTGACCCTTTAAGGTATACTGTTTACTCTGACCCTTCAAGGTACACCTGTCTACTCCAACACTTCAAGGTATACCTCTCTACTGTAACCCTTCAACTTATTGCACAGTTCAAGGTATACATGTCTTCTCTGAATCTAAGAGGTATACCTGTGTACTATGACCCTTTAAGGAAAACCTGTTTACTCTGACCCTTCAAGGTATATGTGTCCACTCTGACCCTTCAAGGTATACATGTCTACAGGGCTGGGCACAGTTCTGTTATGGAACACAGATTTTCAAATTAATGGAAGTGTTGGTTAAGGAAGGGCAAAAATCATTTTTTTTAAAGCCTTAATGGAACGTATTATCCATTTATGAAAAAAAATTAACAGCTAAAAACGATTAAGGAATGGATTTTTTTTTAACGGTGAATTTCGTAATTTTTTTTTTTTCAACCTGAAATTGCATTTAACTTGTGAAAAAAAGAATTTTAACGTGTTTTGAATGTCATCTTCTGTGTTCAAAAGCTTAATGTTAATGTTAATGACTGCGCCATTAACAATTTATTCAATTGTTCACAAAATCTTTTTCCGCGCTGTGCGCTATTAACAATTTACTTTTACCTGTCTACTCTGACCCTTCAAGGTATAACTGTCTAGGCTGACCCTTCTAGATATACCTGTCAGAGCATAGTAAAGAATGTAGAGGAAAGCAAGAGATACTGCGATTTGATTATCATACTCCTTGTTAACATTACTATCTGAATTGAAAAGTACTATGGAAGTAATTTTAATAATCTTTTATTTATAGATTTACAACAGTACCCATTTAACCAATAATGATGATAATAACCAGTAATTATGATAAAGGTATCGTTGTTATTCTTTGAAATATGACAATTCATATTAGTGTCTGCTCCCAAAATCCGAAATCTCTTTTTTAAGGGAAAGTACTATTATTATTATAAGCATTGTCTTCATCAGATAAAAGTTTAAAGGGTAAGTAAGGGTAAGAGTAAAACAATTGTTGAAGTTTATTGTTGACATTAAGTCTTTATTTAGTACAATTATTTTATTATTTCTAACAATTTAATTTAGAGTTTACATTAAGGAATTGAGTTTTTGTCACAAACTCTGATTTTCTTATCCCTTTATCTTTGCATTTCAATGTCAGAGACCTTAGATATTTCAAACTCTGAATTATTTAAGTTCAAATAATAGGAACAGATGTATGTAAATAAATAAATTTTTATGATGTGCATTTGAATTTTGTATATTTATATATCGTATTATATATTTTATAAAGATACTTGTTTTATAAGTATAATTAAAGAGTTAATATCACAAAATTCTCATAGTCCTGGCATTTACAAAATGTGGTCAGCCTTTTTTGTGTTTTCAATATTGCCGGAGATTTAAAGTACAAAAAAGGCAGACCACGCAAATTTGTGATTATTAAGTCGTCTTCCTATTGTAAAGATTTGTGTGCGGTACATGCTGTATATAATTGTGAAGTGTACACAGACCAATTAAGAAATAGATGTTTAAGCATAATAAGGCCGAATTTAAAGAATTTGAGCCGTAGCTAAAATTTAACAACTGGCTCAAATATGTTGGTTCCACTTAAAATATATTATTCAAAGTTTCAATGTTTTCGTTTTTTTTGGCGAATTTGAGACTAGGTTTTTATCAAAATTTTAAACCTCATTTTCGCGAAATTTTCGATCTCATTTTTGCAAAAATTTCGTCCATTTTTGCAAAAATTTCGTCCATTTTTGCAAAAGTTTCGTCCATTTTCGCGAAATTTTCGTTCAATACAAATCTATTATAAAAATCGTATGTATGAAAACTGATACAATAAAATGTTTATCAGTGATTTTGTGCATTACGTTTTACATCTTTAAGTGTTCAGCGTTGCATCTTGAATATACAGGGTTACGCAAAAAGGACAAGACTTTAATGACAACCTAAAAAATCTGTAAAATCACGGCTTTGGGGGGGGGGGCTGTGTTTCTCCCCCTCTGTTATTTTTTTCTAACTAACTCAAAACGTCATGCATTAGAACTTCCTCACTTTTTCAACATCATGGTTGTGAAAAAATGTAGGCAATTATTATAATGCAAAGGGTAGGGGGTGGTAGGGTTTCCGGCGAATTAATTGTTTCCTGAAAAAATGCAAAAATGTTTCGGTCGCATTTTGCAAACTTATTTGTAAAATTACGCAAAAATGCGAAAATATTTTCGCGAAATGCGAAAATTTTGTGAACCATGAGTTTTATAGCTGAAAAAATTAATTGCTTTAAAGAACCTGTGGAATTCTCTGCTCTGATAGTTCAATATTTAAAGAATAGCTATCTTTTTAAGTTTCCGAATTATTTTGGTTCTTCCCGTAGTAGATTTTATTTTGTGTTTTAAGAAGAAAGATCTTCAAGCAAATCTATTAATTGTCTCCATAGTCGTTCTTAAATCTTTATTTATATTTTGTGTTAATCCATCAATTGGGCTTGCAAATAAATCCCCCTGTGAAAATGAGTCTCAAAATTAGCCATTTTTGATGAATTTTCGCTAAAATTTTGCACTTGTTTTTAAAAATTTAGTATTTTTGCGAAATTTTCGTTTTTTTTGGCATAATTTCATTTTTTTTTCAAAATTTTTGCATTTTATTCGCTTCATTTTTCGCGAAATTGAAGTGAAATTTTGAAAAAAAGCGAACATTTTCGCTTTTAAGTGAGCGAACGAAATGCAAAAATTTCACATTTTCGCCAAACGATTTTCTTTTTTTGCTGGAATCCCTAGGTGGATTATATTTGAAAAGCCATTGAAAAATGTAATATTATGTGTCATGTATTAATAATCTTCCATATTAAAAATAACTATTTTTAAATATTTTCCAAATACCTTTTGAACTAATTTAAAATCCACCCTTTACAATATTGAACAAATATAGCCTAGCCAGAATAGGGTTACCTATGATGTTCTGAAATTTGAAGTTGGCTTTTCTTTCTTCAGAATAGTTCTTGAATGGCAAAGAAAAAATAAGTTTACAGCTGCAGGGAACATACAATAATAAACGAAGACCCAACAAATTCTAAATATTCTTTTAAGTTTCATCCTTTCTGGGTAATGCAATAATAAAATGACTCTTGTAAAAACATAAAAGTTTATTTAGTATGCAGACGTATTATATAATTGTTAGAATGTGTAAATACTGTACATCTATTGTAGGGTTTTCACCTGAACATGACAATTTAAAAATAAATGAGTATCATATTTGAATATTTCTGCAACGACTGCTATGTGTAAGTGATGTTAAATCAGCAAATTTTCGCAGATATTGAACAAAATGTGGAAACCGTTTTGAGACCATGCTCACATTTATTAAGTAAAACTATTTGCTTTAACCCTATCAGTATCGTTCTTTCTTTTTCTTATACTGACCAAGCATTCAGTAAAATTGTTAGTTCTGTAAAATCGTATAAAGAAACAATTGTTTTTTTAAAGTTTATTCGACCAAATCATGTAGTGTGTAAGAAAAAATTGTTAGTTCCGAAAAAAAAATGATTCAAAATGTTTTGGAAATTTGTTCAGTAAAATCGTTTTTTTTTCGTTATTTTTTGTAAAATGATTATCATTTCTCTGAACAATCCATTTTGTTTGTCCATTGTTAGAGTTGAGATAGGATAGTGTGACACATTTACCAAGTCAAACTTTTCAAAGCTAGCTCAATAAAACAAATGTTAAAATTGTAAAATTACTTTTATGCTTATTTCATCCATATTTTTATATACAGAATGTTTTGCTTAATCATTTTATTAAAACCAGTCAATTCGCCTTACTGTAGTTTGTATCCTAAATCAATGCTTTAACTTAACTGGTTTGATATTTGCAGAAGATAGATAATTGCAGAAATAAAGCTGTTCTTCAAGATATCCTTGATAGATAAAGATTATTTTCACCTGTATCGTTTTACCTTCCTGGCAAATTCCGACTTTTGAGAAAAGTTAACTGAAGTGGAAAAAGATTCTTTTTTAAAATCTTTATTTAAATGTTGCTTTCACAATGTAGGGATGGATCCTTTTAATTTTTTTTTTAAATGATTGTTTCGTTGTGAAAATGATGACAAAAGAACTAAATACCATACAATTGTTTTCAAAAACAATTGTTTAAAAATATGGTTTTCGAAATGATCGTTTTTATTAAGTTTGTCGTTTTGTTAACAATCTTTTTTGATGACTTTTGTTAACGATCATAAATGATGACCCTTTGTTAACAATCATGAAAAAAATATCTAGAAGTTTTAGCTTCCTCACAAGTTTTTTAGGGATTTATCCTCTACAATTCAAATTTACCACCTTACTAACACTGCAGTGTTAGTAATTTCAAATTTTCATCTAACAAAATTTGTTGGAGCACAAGAATCAAATATACCTTAGCAGAATCATTCGTCAAATTTTGTTGAATCTATTTTCAGTCGCCTTAATTCAACGTTTGTTACATGATCTATTAACTGGTGCTAGTCCCCCCACTGCCATGCGCGAGCCACGCCTCCACATAATTCTTATAACACAAAGTTTGTCTTATGTCGATTCAACCAGCAACACTGCGTGGTTTAAAAACTACCGTGCGTCAAAATTTGTTGAATGTCCCTGTAACTTCCTGCACAACTATGTAATCATTTGCTTTATGATCATTAAGCTTTGAATCTTGACCTGTCAAAAGAGGTCGTTACAGGTGGCGCCACATATTCTCTCAAAATTTGTTACAAGTAGAGTCAACTTTGTTGATACTTAAAAATCCGGCTGTTATGTAAAATCTAAATTTTTTAATACAATTTATTTGGTTTTAAAACTGTTACAGAAACTGTTAATATTTTTAGATTTTTAAAAAGTTTACGAAAAAGATTTAAAATTGTATTCTGTAGGTGAAAATATAAGGTAAAAAAAAAATCGTTTTAAAACCCCAAAAATCGTATTTGGCGTATATTTTCGTATGGGGTAACAAATTTGATTATTTGATAAAAGGTTGGAAACTTTTCATATTGTCCTTGGTGAAAATATAAGGTAAAAACAAAACAAAAACTATCGTTTTAAAAACCAAAATATCGTTTTTGCTGTATATTTTCATCTAGGGTAACAAATTTGCATATTAAAAAAGAAAATTTCTATAAAATAAAGTTTTAAAAGGAATTGGAACCTTCTCATATTGTCGTAAAACCTTTCGAAAATATAAAAACATTAAAATTTGTGTGTAAAAGAATCTGTCTAGCTAGTGCCCATCCCTACCTACGACGATGCTAAATTATGTTTGCAAACTGTTAAAATTTCGCGGAGAATATTACGTTTCCTCCTTTCCCTCCCCCCCCCTTATTTGTTATGAAGAAGTTATGCAGAAGTTATGAAATTACAAAGAAAAAAAAAGAAAAAAATGTGCTCTCAATTATTTCTAATACAAAGTTTTCATCGGACATTATGTATGTCTGCTGTTGTGGGATGTAAAACAGTTTTTGATTTAATCGATGAAAAATTATAACAATTAAATGCAGGCATATATAAAATCATAAATAGAAAAGTAAAATAAGAAAAAAGTCTTAGAACAAGCATTACAGAGCGATTTCTATAACAAGGAATCTCAAAATTAATGGTTTCTAGGACTAGAAAACGCCCAGATCCCAAATGATTGGGTTCTACTCAGTTTTATATGGCATAAAATGAGTATTAAGCCTTTTGCTCGCTTTTTATAAGTCAGAAAACGAGCA